GGGAAGAGCACAGCTAATCAACAGGAGTAGGAACTAGGGATCTGACTCAGACAAAAATACAAATTGGCTTTGTAAGGATCTGAGTTCAAATTCTAGGTACCCACATAAGACCTGGGCACCACAGTGCGTGTCTGGAACACTAGTGGAGACAGGAGGATCCCGAGGACTCACTAGCCAGTCTAATCTATGGGTTCTAGCTTGAGTGAGAGACTCTGTCTCAAAGAATAAGGTGGAAAGCAGCCTAGAAAGACACTTGATATGTACCTCTGGCCTCTGCACACTCACACATGTGCTCCCGTGTGCACACATGCACACACCACCATCACTATCACCAACAACAACAAAGTTAAAAACTTTCAGATGCAGGATGAGTTAGTTTTGTGTATAGCTACAGACAGCATTACTGTCTCACATACTTAAAAACCTATTATACGTGCATACCTCTTGTTAAATGTTCTTACTACAATAAAATAAACTTGGAAAAAAGTCACAAGGGACTACAATTCTGATTCCACCTCTTTGTGTGTGGACAGGGCTCATTGGCTGGTGGACTTCCCTGTGTTTTAAAACTGAAGGACTCCTCAGCTGCCTTTACTTTGCTATTTTAGTTACAGTTCTTGCCTAGAGCAGGTGTATGGCCAAAGAGCTTCCTTCTAATCTATAATCCCTCATTTCATCTCTGTAACTAAAGCAGAGAAAGGATGGCTCTGGCCTCCTGCCTCCCGCATATGAAACTTGCTCCCTTTTAACCTGGAAGTTTTGTTTGACCATCTGACAACCCTTGCTGAGAAGGCCGTAAAGGAAGCTGAGCACACATCGAGACGGGTGCCTAATAAAATATCTAGCCAGGCACATTGGCATGCCTGTAGCCAGCTACTCGGGGGGCTGGGGTGAGAGGATGGCTTGGGCAGCAACAGAAAGACAAATTCAAACTACAAAACAATATTGATCCATGGCAACGAAGGAGTCAAGGTAATCAGGGAAGTCAGTCCAGGGGTGGCAGAGTTCCTGGAGGCTAAGCCACGCAGTCAGCCTTCAGACTCCCATGCGGCACGGCTTCTAATGTAACCTTCAGACTCCCATGCAGCATGGCTTCTAATGTAACCTTTAGACTCCACATGCAATTTTTTTTTTCTGAAGCTGTGACTCTGATAAATGGGGTGAATGTGACACCATGTGCTGTGAGGGCAGAGATTTCTGTTTGTTTAGTTACACCCCATGTGCCTGGCACCTAGCTGGCTTATGCAAATTTGTAAGCTGAATGTTTAGAAAATGTTTTTCACCCTTGCCGAGGAGCTGTCTGCATTTATTCTGCCATTTTCTGTGTCATACAATAATTAATAGGTCTGTCATCTTGTTTGCTTTAATCCAACAAGTGCTTGCTGATACCTAAGTGGCCCAGGCCCCTTTTGGAGTGGAGGAAGGACCACAGGAATGGGTGGGATGGGGCCCAGCCAATCCTCCTATCGTGCTTATTAGCTGCTTGAGAGAGAATCATCCAACTTAGCGGAGGGCGTTATTTTTCCATTCTCTTTTCCCTGATGTGTGCTCTGGGTCTGTGGAAGAACTGGAGGTCTGACGGTAAGAGGAGGAGGCTAGCCAAGACCCAACCCCATCTACAGATCACCAGGTAGGTGGCTGTCCAAGCTGGGGCTAGCCACCTCGTGGAACACAGCTGTATTGAGTGGTACACACCACAGTAAGTCCAAACCAGGTTGGTCTAGAGTCCTGGAACAGAATGTGTGACAACTCAAGGAGACTCAGGTTGAGGGATCACTGCTGATTAGATTTGGTCAGTCATTATTGTTTTTTTTTACTCAACACTTACGAGGCCCATGTGTAGCCTTCGTCATTGCCTTATAGTTTAAAGCCTTTTGCATTATTTGAATACCTGCAGAAATTGAATTACTTAACTAGTACCTCACGAAGTACAAAATTAGTAGCAATGCTCACTCATTTATTTGGTGAGCATTCATTAGGCACAAGCCATGTGCTTCACTGTGTGACAGTAACTCATGTACACAGTATCCATGGGTGTTAGTAATGTCAAAATACTTTTCTTTTTTTCTTTCTTTCTTTCTTTTTTCTTTTTTTGG